CCTCCCTTCCTTCCTTCCTTCCATTTTGGCCCCCAATCACCCTCCCTCCCTCCCTCTTTTTCCTTCCTTCCTCCCTTCCTCCCTCCCTTCCTTCCTCTCTCTCAATTTCTTTCTCCCCCTCCCTCCTTGGGTTTCTGCTCTCCTTCCAGTGACGATGAACAAGCTAACCAGATGTGGAAACGCTACTTAGAAAGAGAAGACAGCAAAATAGTAGGTGAGTAGGCCCTCACGTAGCCACTAAGAGAGCAGTCATTAAGCAAGGACTGACCGTACCGTTGCTTTGGGTCTAACAGGCAAACGATTTTGATCCCAAGATTCCACCCTGATCCTTGTAGTAACAGAACCTCGTTTCCTATCTTCTCTCTCCTCCTCCTCCTCCTCCTCCTCCTCCTCCTCTCTTTCCCCCAGACCTCTTCGTTGGCCAGCTGAAGAGTTGCCTCAAGTGTCAGGCCTGCGGCTACCGGTCAACCACCTTTGAAGTTTTCTGCGACCTCTCCCTGCCTATCCCCAAGGTGAGTCTCCAAGGGATCACCCAGGGCAGCAGCCAAGCGACGGGCCACCTCAGACATGTTTCCCCGAGGATAAAATGGGAGCAGGCAAGAACTGTGTCTGCCAGTTTGAAACTTTTTTTTGGGGGGGGGGGGGAAGACGAGATAAAACGGTGATTATCAGCAGCACATACAATACTACGTGCTAACAAAGATGTTGAGACTCTAGAAAGAGTGCAGAGAAGGGCAACAAAGATGATCAGGGGACTGGAGGGTAAAACACACAAGGAACGGTTGCTGGAATTGGGTATGTCTAGTTTAATGAAGAGAAGGATGAGGGGGGACATGATAGCAGTCTTCCAATATCTCAGGGGCTGCCCTAAAGAAGAGGCAGTCAAGCTATTCTCCAAAGCGCCTGAAGGCAGGACAAGAAGCAACGGATGGAAACTAACCAAAGAGAGAAGCAACCTAGAAATAAGGAGAAACTTCCTGACAGTGAGAACAATTAACCAGTGGAACCACCTGCCTCCAGAAGCGGGGAATGCTCCAACACTGGAAGTTTTTAAGAAGAGACTGCACAGACATTTGTCCGAAATGGTATAGGGTTTCCTGCCTGAGAAGGGGGTTGGACTAGATGACCTCCAAGATCCCTTCCAACTCTGTTATTCTGTGATTCTGTTATTCTGCTATTCTGTTTTCCTGGAAATAATAGTATAGTAAATAAATAGTAAATAAAGAATGCAGGAAGAGGAGCCTAATGCATGTGGATCAGCTTCTGATTTTACTACTTTTCCTTCCTTCCTTCCTTCCTTCCTTCCTTCCTTCCTTCCTTCCTTCCTTCCTTCCTTCCTTCCTTCCTTCCTTCCTTCCTTCCTTCCTTCCTTCCTTCCTTCCTTCCTCATCACTGGAGGTCCTTAAGAAGAGATTGGGCAACCATTTGTCCGAACTGGG